GAAGACGATTAAGCAAAAAAAAAAATTTTAGAGCTACGTGCGGTGAATCTAATTGTGCGGCGGATGCATGAGCTACGCCTCCGATAAGATTTATTGGACTTGATCCTGATAATTCATTGCCTTCTTTTGTTACCTTGTGTGTGGGTTAGAACAGTGCTACTTGTTTTGTAGTGCTTGAGTATCGATTTGTCACTTTGGCTAGATTACGTTTGGTTTCGGGAATGCTTTTTGTTGCATTCTACTTCGATTTTGGAGGACCTAGTAAGGCTATCGTTACAATTGCCCCAAGGTTAAGCTGTAGATACTTTCGAGGATAGGATTTTGGTGGAGATTTTAAACGCATTGTTTTCTATAGCAAGTGTAGTCCCGTGTAGGCTAACCTCCTGGTGGTTTGTTGGATGAGCTTCATTAATGGGTGTGGAGGATAACCTTTGTTGTGTTGCTTGATGGCCTTTTTGGTTCTAAGGCTTTTGCACGGGCTACCAGAAAAAATGCCTTCCTTTCGTCTTGGCAGTTTATTGATCGTCCTGATTGTTTACTCGCACAGTGATTTCAAGAACATTATCGCTACTTTCTCTGTCTTAGTATAAATTCCCGAATGTGTATCAATTGTATTTTGCTTTCATGTTTTTATCGTCTTTTGCCATAGAATTAAATTTATAAATAACAATTTGTAATATGAACTATTCATCTTTAGATGATATTTACCCTTTTAGCAAAAAGAAAACCACAAAATTGTATAATTATTAGAATAAAATCATAAGATACATAGATTTATATAGAGATGAGAAATCGTTCAAAGTTTCATAAACTAAAATAAATATAGAGAATTTTCACTGACAAATAAAAATCTTTCTTATTCTTCTATAATCCGAATTTATGATTTTCTATAAATGTAAAAAAGAATTGCAAGAAAGAAATAAATGTAGGACTCAAGAAATTTTTGGCAAAAAGAAGGAAAAAATGGGAAAATTAAAGAAGGTGGCGAGCATGTACATTTGATATAAATGTATAAAAAGAATATAAATGTTAACATTTCCAATTTTTCTGAGCTGTTGCGTTACCAATATCCGCTGGATTCTTAATCCTCTCATTCTCTCTCAAATTTTTTATTACACAACAAAAACCCTAATTTTTAGAAATTGTTTCAACAGAAACAAATCAGTTGTCGTTTTAGATTCACCTTCTTCTTCTTCTTAACTTTTGATTTTTGGGAAGAGAACGTGGCAAAGTGAAAGGTACGTTTCAAATTCGAATATTCTAAAAAAGGCACGTTCTTGCTCACCGATATTATTCCTAATTTCATTTTTTTTTTTAATTTTGTGTTTGTAAAATCTGAAATCGCGTTTGAGTTCCGTTAATAATTTGATTACAGAGAAGAAATTGGATTTAGTTCCTTGGCGTCTTCTTTAGTTCTTTTTTGTTTTTAATTAGTGGAGATATTATATTTTGATTTGAGGATTAATAGTTAATGTGGTTTAAGGTAACGTATATTAGAGGGTTTTGAGGTTTTTATACGTTAATTTTGGAACAAGTCTAATCAAATTTCAAAACTTGAAGAACTGTAAGATTCTCTCAAGCATCGATTTTATTCTATTTTTGGAGTAA